GGTGACACAGGTGGTGGCCTAGGTGGGACAGGTGGAGGCCTGGGTGACACAGGTGGAGGCCTAGGTGGGACAGGTGGAGGTCTGGGTAGGACAGGTGGAGGCCTTGGTGACACAGGTGGAGGCCTGGGTGAAACAGGTGGAAGCCTAGGTGGACAGGTGGAGGCTTTGATGGGACAGGTGGAGGCCTAGGTGGGATAGGTGGAGGCCTGGGTAGCACAGGTGGAGGCCTAGGTGGGACAGGTGGAGACCTAGGTGACACAGGTGGAGGCCTGGGTGACACAGGTGGAGGCCTGGGTGAGACAGGTGGAGACCTAGGTGACACAGGTGGAGGCCTGGGTGACACAGGTAGAGGCCTAGGTGGGACGGGTGGCATTCTAGGTGACACAGGTGGAGGCCTGGGTGGGGCAGGTAGAGGCGGGAGTGCTCGCAGAAGTACTCACGTAACCGCAGGCCCGGCAGTGGTGGCGGCGGCGCGTCAGGGCGTTGAAGGGCTCCTGGCAGCGCATGCACATGGTCACCATCTTGTCCCGGACCCACTGCGGTGCCCGGAGGCCCAGCTCCTCAGACTGCAGCTGTGGGTTAAGGCCGATGGTGACCCTCTTTGTCCATCCTCCAAGGACCTGGGGCCCTGTGCCCACCTGCTGTGGCAGGGATTCTGTGTGTTGGGCTTCCCTGGGGCTTCTGCAGGAAGCTGACTGACCTGATCGAGACCTTCTGATAGGATAGTTACTATCATTCCTAACATATAGGCGAGGAAGCAGGCCCAGAGAGGTCAAGTGACTTGGCAGGCTGGAGTTGAGCTCAAATCTGAACTCACACTGCAGACGTCCTCCCCAGCCCCTACTGCACTCTCCTTCCATCTTCCCCAAGACTTTACATTTTGCAGATACTTTGAAACCCAAAACCCTACTGCCCCCTGCAGCTGGAACTGCAGAGAGGTGAAGCCCTTCCCCGTGACAGCTGTGCTAACCGGAATGCTCAGGCACAGAGTTGGGGGATGCACTGAGAGGGCTTCCCCAGGTCCCTTCGGTCTCTCCTGGCAGGTGACTCTCCCCATCCCTCCCAGCTGGTACAGGTAGAACATAGGGAACAAACTCTGTTTGGGCTGGTGGCCCCAGCAAGGGATGAAGAAGGCTTCATTTACCTCCTGTTCCTGCGTGTCTCCCTCAGGCCCCTGGGCAGCAGCCTTGAAGGTTTCATTCCGCTTCTCGATTTGGTCAATGGCTGCTTGGAAGGCCTGGGTGCAGGGAGGACAAGGGTTGGGGGCTTGAGGAATGGGAGGGAGGCGCTGCTCCTCTGTCCATCCATCCACACATGCAACAGACAGGGCTGAAAGCCCACTGAGTGCCGGGCACTGGATTCTTCACACACACAGGCTGCCTTAGGGGAGGAGAAACTACCAGCCCCAGATTACAGGTATAAAAACTGAAGCTCAGAGAAGGTAAGTGACTGGCCCTGGACTGCCCAGCTAGGCAGTGAGAAGCAGCAAGATAGGAACCCAGATCCATCTCCAAACTGCCACAGACCAGCTCCTTAGGAAGAGCAGGAAGCTGCTGGGCACATGCAGGTGTGGGAGTGTGCACACACACACACAGACACATACATACATGCGTGCACACACATGAATACACACAAGCACAGACACACAAACACATGTACACACATGCAGGCACACACACAAGCACACATACAGACATGCACGCACAGATGCATACACATGCATGCACGCACACACACACACAGACACAAACACACAGACATGCACACACAGATGCACACACATGCATACACACATGAACACACACACACACGCACACACACACGAGCATTCCTTCCCCCCCCACCCCCCCGGCACACACACACCACTTCCTCCCCTTCAGCCCCAATACGCTAGGGTCAGAATCCCAGGAGCTTCAGCATGATAGCCCATTAATTCTTTTCTTTTTATTTATTTATTTATTTTTAAAGACGGGGTTTCACCATGTTGGTCAGGCTGGTCATGAACTCCCGACCTCAGGTGATCCCCCGCCTTGGCCTCCAAAGTGCTTGGATTACAGGCGTGAGCCACTGGATAGTCCATTAATTCGAAAGAGAAAAAAAGAAAAAAGACTCCCGGAAGCCCTGGAGCGTTCCCATACCTGCATCCAGGAAATCATTTCCTCCTGGGACCTGCTCGGAAAGTGAACACAGGTGTTGAGGAGAGCAGCCCCTCCCAGTTTTCCCGCCTGGCCCGGCTGCCGCCCCAGCCCCTTTACCGGGCTTGCAGCTCCAGGGTGCGCTGCTTCCCGGACACCAGGAAGGAGTGGGGGAACTCAGCATCCATCAGCTCCCGCACCTGCAACAGGAGGGAGGCAACCAGTTCAGACTTGTCATACCCCAGGTCCCAGGCACAGCACTGTGGAGTGGAGGGAGGTGGATTGTGCCCAAAAGATAATTCAAATTTGACGGACAGGGACGCAGAGCTTGTCCGCTACCTTCCTAATCCTGTTGAGCACAGCAAATGCTCCTGCAACTGGGCCTCGCTCCAAGCAAGTGGGACCTACAGCTCCTGCAATGTCAGCAGCCGCTAAGTTGACCCAGTGTGAGGGGGAGATGACAATTTTTGACAATGGATTCAACAAAAAGGGAAATTGGATTTCAAACCTGGATGAGTATATGAGGGTTCATCGTACCATTTTCTCGGCTTTAAATTTTCCATAATAAAACATTAAAGAAAATAATATTGGCCAGGTGCAGTGGCTCATGCCTGTAATCCCAGCATTTTGGGAGGTCAAGGCGGGTGGGTCACTTGAAGCCAGGAGTTTGAGACCAGCCTGGGCAATATGAGCCATCTCTTCTAAAAATACAAAAATTAGCTGGACATGGTGCACATGCCTGTGGTCCCAATGACTCAGGAGGCTGAGGCACAAGAATCTCTTGAACCCAGGAGGTGGAGATTGCAGTGAGCTCAGATCACGCCAACGCACTCCAGCCTGGGTGATAGAGGGAGACCCTGTCTCAAAA